TTATAAAGGAGGCCTGGTGGTGGTGTGGTAAAGAGTTACAGTCTCAAACCCACAGGGCAGTTCCACCCTGTTCTATGGGTCACCATGAGTCAGAATTGACTCTGGCAGTGAGTTGGTTTTGGGTTTTTTTAAGTTTATAAAAGTAAAACAAAACTCTTTTACCACGATATCATGATGAAAAATGATGAGAAAATAACTTGCATCTAGTGATCTACTGATGCAGGTAGTGAGGAGGGCAGAGAGCTATTTGATCCAGCATTCACAGGCCTCAGTGGACTGGGAAAGCTTAGGAATAGGCCAAATATCTGGATTTGGGAATAATAAGATACACCTGACAACAAGGAATTGCCGTGGTTATTTTTATTCTTTTATAGACCATTTATTGCTTTTGTACTATAGAAGTTATGGCAAAATGTGGTATACTTTTAAACAGAAGTAGCAAGATTTCTTCAATCAGGTTTTTATTACTGGAGAATGGAGTTGAACAGGAGGAGTGGTATACAGTGTGGGGATTTTTTAGGTGATATGTTAAAAAAATAAAGGTTTCAATAAATGATATAAGGAGGATATTAGTATGATATACATCATCTTTCTATAGATTAAATGTACTGATACACTTTTCTATAACAAAAGGAAAGTGAAGAGGCCATAGGACATACTGACTTAAGCTTTTCATTGTTTATTCTTTGACCCAGGTTGGAGCAGATGGTTTGATGAAATTAAATGGTTCAGCCCTTAACAATGAGTTCTTCACCTCAGCAGCCCAAGGCTGGAAGGAAAGACTCTCAGAGGGTAAGTGTTGTACTTTTTGTGTCCCCTGGGATAGTCCTTTGAACCGGCTTATTCCTATGATCCAAGAACCACTATGAGCACATGTTGGCTCCTGTCTGCATCTATAAGTAGTTGAGAAATGAAGGAAGGCAAAGGATAGAATGTTTCCCTAAGGTAATACTATTGATAGTGATCCTGCATAGGACATATTGCTAGACTCCCATCTATACTCAGTATAGTCACGTTTGGCTCCAGATGTTTCTTTAATCCTGATTTTGTAAGTTTAGGATAGTGCTAGAAATGGGAATTTTAATAATAGTATAGAATTGGAGTTATTTTAGGATGCTATTTGTCACTGTTTGGTAAGCAGTATTTGTCCCTTTTTGCCAAAATTAAAAGTATAAAGAGGGCAGCTGTGGTGCCCCGTGGTGGGCGGGTGTGGAGCGAGCCACTGGACCCAAAACTAAGTGGGAGAGATCCCTGGCCGGGGCCTTGGCGGCATGATGGAGTGAGAGGAATCATCTGTGTGTCATGTGGAATGTCAGATCTGGTCACTATGGTACGAGAACAAAAATGCATATTGTGCCACATTGTGTACAGCTCAAAAAAGGAGATGGATAAACATGTGGAGCATGTTGCACCACAGGGAACTTGAGAACCTGAAGGGAGGTTTGGCACAGATGGTGCCCCTGGTTTAGAATGAACAAGAGGTCTTGGATCTGGATGGGGAGCCTGACCTGTTCAATCTAGAAGGATGTCAGTGGGAAGGTATCTCCATTCCCTCCCCGCAGGGTTGACAAAGAAACGGAGCCTGTCGGAGAGCAGTGTGATCACGGACAGGGCCCCTGTGTATAGCTTCTTCAGTGAGGAAGATGCAGGCAGAGAAATGAGCCCCGCAGATGGTTTTACCTGGTACCTCACTGAGGACTACCCAGGGTCAGAAAGCAACCGAGGGCATTAAACAGGAAACAACCCCTATGGCTGCTTCCCTATGAATAGATGAAATGACCGAAAATGTGACTACCCGAAGGCGTCATAGTACTCAATTACCCTCTGACCATACAGTACCGTTGATGCATTTGGCAAAAGGCCTAAGCAGCCAGCAGAGTTCTACACCACCTTCAGAATGCCCAAGAAAGCAACCAGGAAGGCAACTCATCAAATCACTTCTTTGGTCCTTGTAAACTCCAGTTTGGTGGACGCAGCCACAGATAGCAGCTGCACGTTGGGTACTGAACAAAATGACGGCCAGAGTATCAGAAGGAAGCGCAGTGGCACAGTTGATGGATCATCTGAACCTCCCACGTCTTAAGGAAAAAAAAAAGCGAAGGAAAATTAAACAGAAAAGAACGTTCTCAGATTGACCAGCTGTTGACTATTTCTCTGAAGGAGGAGGAACTAAGCAAGTCTTTGCAGTGCATGGATAACAACCTTTCGCAAGCTTGGGCAGCACCGCAAACAGCATATGTTGAAGTCCAGCGGCTCCTTGTGCTCGGACAACAGGTACCTATGGAGACGAGGGCCCTGAGGACCTGCAGAATACAGAGTCTACAGGGACTGCTAGAAACGGTACAGACCTTCTGAGCACCCCAATCAGGTTTCCTGTAGCCTTTCATGAGAACAAACAGCTGCTGCTGCTCCGCTGCTGCCTTCTCTGTTTCTCAGTTTTCCTGGACCTTCCACCATCATCCCATGTGTCTCCATCGTTCACATTTGCTTTCCAAGCCCCTGGCAGTATCCCTAATCCGGACTCATCAGTTCAGATTAGCAAGAGCCCATGTCTCCTGCACGTGAGGAGAGTGAGTGCTGTGCCACAAGGAGTCTGCTGGTAGTGTGCCCACGGAATTACTAAGCTTTTTCTTAGCATGTACACTCTTTTCTCTGATAGTGTTACTAGGACAATTTGTATTCATGATGTAAAGGCGTTTCATGCTAAATGAATAAGTAAAACCAAACTAAAACTTTTTAAAAAGAGACAGCATTTTGTTGTTGTTTTTTAAAGATTGAGAGATAAAATGTAAATATTAAATGTATTCCACATAATTCATTTAGAACTAGAACATTTTAATAAATAAAGATGATGGGAATTATTGGCTGTAAGTACTGGTTTGTCATGTATGCATCATGATTACAACTTTGAGTTAACTGGTTCAATAAGAAGACTATATGGTAAAATAAATGATAGTTTTGTTTGTTTCTGTGAGCACAGCATATGGTATTTGTCCGTATTAGTTACTACACGTGAATGTTCAAAGCAAAAAAGATGGAAACCATTCAAATGTCCAAATTGTGGTTGCTCATGATTGTTTTTTTTTAAATACTGATGCCAAGGCCCCCTGTCAGTGTTTTTGTTTAACCAGTGAAGGGGCTGGTGTCTTCTGATTTCTACAGGATCTTTCATGACTACATAAAAAGTAGCAAACAAAATTTTTCTGTTGAATATCTGTTTTTTATTTTTAATGCATTATAGGTGAATTTACACCTGAGATGCAGGTGAGAATTCGACAAGAAATTGAAAAGGAGAAAAAAGTGGAGCCATGGAAAGAACAATTTTTTGAAAGCTACTATGGTCAGAGGTAATCCCAAGACAGGGTCTATAAACCAAACGTTAGTTCTCTGTAGTTGTTACTCTGTGCTTAATCTTAGTACCTTTCAGAAAATCTAGTCCCCGGTGCCGTCTGTTGTTCATTTCACCTATTCTTTACTGAGAACATTTTAAAATTGAATCTGAGGTACATGGACTTGCACGGTTTCAACACTATGTCATCATGAACAGAATGTTTTGCTTGTTTGTTTTAATTTTATTATCCTGAATTAATAAGAAACTATTTCTTTGAAAAGCTTAGCCATTTTTAACTTAGGAACTTTATACAATATGAAAATACTAAGGTTCTACACATTTTAAAAGTAACATTTAAGCACTCTTCAAAATAACATCCAGAATCACTAAGGAATCCTCAGAATGCTGTAATGTGAATCTTAAGTGTAATTCAGTAGGTCTTTTGTCAAGGGCACACTGGGAGACATACATAGCTAAATCACAGCGCATCCTAAATCTTTTTTTCTAACAGAATGTCAAAATGAAAATTTTATGAGAACACATAAACAGATGATAAACCTATTTTGTTTTAAAATGGACCAAATACCCCAAATTCTATGTTTGTTCATCTCCATCTCCGCTTTTTCATATCGCCTAGTTTTATTCTTAGCTAATACATCTCAGGGATGTGATCCTGAGTATTTCAAGTTTTTTAAGAAGGCTATCTTAGTTTTTACCTGTTACACACTATTTTAACATCAGGAGGTGTCTTTAGTCTAGCTTAAGAAAAAGAAAAAGTCTAGCTCTTTGTCAGGACACAAAATCCAAACTCACTGCCTTCAAATCAGTTCTGACTCATAATGACTTGTGTAGGACAGAGTAGGAAGAACTACTCGTTAGGATTTCCAAGGCTGTTGGGTTTCAACCATTGACCTTGTGGTTTGAAGCCTAGTGTCACCAGGGCTCCGCTTTGTCGTGACACACTATGCAAATCCCAGTTGGCTGACATACCTAAGATAATTCAGAGGCCTTTAAACTTAGCATTTTAGAGTCATACCAAGTGGAATTTACAAGATTTTCTAAAAACGCATATAAAGTTTGACCTCAACTCTCCCATTATTCCCTGGATTTCCTGGACCAGTCCTCCCACAGGGTTTTTGGGTGTTCCCCCCCACCCACCCAATGAACTCCCTTACCCCATCCCCACAGGTTTCATAGAGCATTATATTAGTCACAATTCAATCAAAGAACCCAAGGGTGAATGGGTTTTAGCTTTTCAGTTCCCCTGGGGATAATCTATGGTGCATACCTCTAGACCAAGTGGCCCCATTATAAGCAGAAATAGTAATATTAACTGTTACTGACTTTTAATTACGTACCATAAGTGCTTTTCAGCCGACAACAGTATGAAGTCATTATTCTTTACAATAAATCTGTGCCTCAGTGTACATTTGAGGAAACTGAGATATTGAAGAGTAGTAAATTATGAGCACATGGGCATTTTATATCAGAATCAGGGTTTTAATACAGATACCCTGACTTCAGAACACAGACTAATAAAAATACTGCTTCATCTGAGTATGATGCCGTGAAGAGTACATTCTGTGTTTCAGGAATTCCTATAGATAGGCATTGTCAGATTTCATTTTCAAAGTGCTGTCGATAACATGGGCCATTTCACAACCAAGATCTTTCTTTCTTCCCCTTCTTAGTTCTGGCCTGAGCCTTGAGGATTCAAATAAATTGATATCTTCAACCAGTGATCCCAAAGTAAAGAAAATCCCAGCTGAGCAACCAAAACTCGTGCTTCTGCCAGAGCCAGCGCCTGCCTCTCCTGTCAAAATAGACCCAGTAGGGTCGCAGTCAGAGTCTAAAGAAGAAACCGGACAGATGGCATCACCAGTGAACAAAGAAGAGCCTGAGAGCCCAGATAAGGCACACCAAACCTCCTCCAAACCCACAGAGCCCCTGCTTTGCACAGCTAGCAAGACAAATGAGGTTAGCAGCATCCTTCCCATCAAATGCCCAAAGGATGAGGAGCTAATGGAACAGAAGCCAGTTGCCTCTGCTGAACAGGAGTCTGAAAAAGAGAATCATCTCACCATGCCTTCTAATTGTAGCAAAAATGAAAACCAAGATGCTTCCGTTACACCCCCATGCAAGCCCAAAAGTCCTGGAGTGGAAATAGCAATTATGAAGCCCATAGTAAAAACAGGCCCACAGGAGACTACTGTGAAAGAGCCTTCTCCGTCAACTCCTGTTGATCCGAGCCCAGAAGGCCTCAAGAGGAAATCTCCTCTCACCCAAGATGAGCCCCCTACAAGCGGGGAGAAGAGGCCACGTGTCACTGACGGTTGCCAGCACCAGCAGCCATTTCAAGGCTCATCACAGCCCTTTCTCAATAGAGGGGAGAGGTTCCAGGTGCGAAGAGTACCGCCTCTCAAGGTAAGAGTGGGGAGTAATTAGTTAGTAGGCCATAGCTGCCAGATTTCAGGGCATTTCTAGTAGTTCTTAATGCAGAAGCAGTTGCAAATGTTGCATATGCATGTAACAATATTTCTACATACCATTAATTATATTTAAATGAGGATGGAAAGGTGACAATCTGATGCTCCCCTTCCCCCATGCTGGCGATCTAAAGACAGTGATAGAAATCATTCTATCCTATCTATATGACAAAGATGAGTAGGTCATTGGTATGATTAAGAGATATTTGTCCCAAGAGCCATGAAGTATTATGGTCCATAACTGAGTTATTGTTCTGTGGTCTATAAGTACTTTCATCTTTTTCATATTTATGTGTGGTAGTCCCAACTCATCACTGGTTTCTTGAAGGATATTAATAAAATAGAATAACTAGCCTTGTTAAGCTCTGTTACATAGTACATGTCATTAATTTCTGTTTAGCCCTCTACTGCTGTGTAATCAAATCTTTCTAATTCCTTTAGGGAATTACTCTGATTATCTTAGTATATTAAAGACAGGGGCAAGCCCCTTAAATTACAAATAAACTTTTACTCCTTTACCTTAACGGTTTATTAATACTTTTAGCTTGTGTCTACTATCAATTTGTAATTCATTTGCTTGTGTAATAAATAGTTTTGTGTGTTTACTGCTATGTATACTATACTTTCTCACATTAGAATAGAATTAGAAAAATAAGCCAGATAGAGATACTTTTTTATCCTTTTTAATTTAACTTGAATGAACTAAAGTTTAATTTTATCAGGAAATATCCCACAGAAATATTTCATTACTATTACATCATTCATCCTATATGCAATTTGGGTTTTTAGGGGCCTCTTAGCTCTTAGAACAATCCATACCTCAATTGTATCAAGCATATTTGTACACATGTTACCATCATTATTTCCTAGACATTTACTTTCTATTGAGCCCTTGCTATCTGCTCCCCCCCATGACACCTTGATAAATTATAAATTATTATTATTATTTTCATATCTTACACCGACTGCTGTCTCCCTTCCTCCACAGTTTCTGTTGTTTGTTGTCCCCCCCAGGTGGGGGTATAATGTGTCAATCATTGCGATCTGCCGTCCCTCTCCCCACCTTCCTCCTACCCTTCTGGTATCGCTACTCCCGTTCCTGTTCCTGGACTCCATGTATTGTGAGCTCTTATCTCTTATCTGCACCTGTGCACATGCTCCAGTCTAGCCCGCAGTGAAAGGCAGGACTGGGGTCATGATGGTGGGGAGTGAGGAAGCCTCAAGGAACCAGAGGACTATTGTGTGTCCTCTGGTGTGTTCACTGGTGTCTATATGCAGTTTTACTCCTCTCTCTCATCATACTTTTTATTTAATCATACAGCATTCTTCATTGGTAGTTTTAAGATTTATGTTTTCCATATTTAGTATATGATTTTCCCATTTATATTCTCTACTATTAATATTCAATGTCTTGCTTTGCCAAAGATGCTAGATTTTATAAAAATTTGTGTTAGAGTTCTTATTAAAAAAATACTGGAAGCCTTTCATTAATGATTGCCACGCAGATCTGCAGACATTAGAGCTGAATTATAGTGAAAGAACTCATAACATCTGTTTCCTCATTCTCTCAGGAGCTTAGATAATACTCATAGGCTTTTTTGAATCCCAAGAGACTTAAAACTGAAAATGTAAATCTACTCTAAGTAAACATAATTTTACTTACTTAATTTTACTTTTTCTCCCTCTTCATCCCCCATTAAAAGACTTTTCACCAGAAGTTGTATTGGTAACTCTAGCTTAAACCCTCTATCTCACGTTCCCCTTTCTTAGGCAGAAAACTAGACCAAACTCACTCACATCAAGTCAGTGTGACTCACAGAAAGCCTGTAGGATGGGGTGACCACCTCTGAGTTTCCAAGACCGTGATTCTGTATAGGAGTAGAAACCCTCATCTTTATTCTGGGGAATGGCTGGCAATTCCGAACTGCTAACCTTGTGGTTAATATCTCAACTTGTATCCACTATATCATCAGGGTTCCGTCTCCTAGGCAAAACATGATAAAATTTATGACAGAACAAAACTTTTTAAACAAAAGGGTAATATTATTATTACCTTACATTTGTGATGTGTATATGAACATAAAAATGAAATCTACAACTATATTTTATATACATATATGTATATGTGTGTATATACACACAAATAATATTCTGTTAAAAACAACAGGTTCTAATCTTTTTGCCAGACCAGAGTTGGGTTTTTTTTGTTTTTTTTTTTTTGGTAAGATAAATTGTTACCAAGTTCCTAGATAACTTTGATTGATTTTTGTACATAAAAGTGTGTCACACATTTACTGTACATACTTAGGTAATAGAATTATCTATATAAATAACTATAAAGTGTTTTTCAGTTTTAAACTTTAATTTTAGCCACTTTTAATGGTTGCCATTATTTAATGTCAGCATGTTATTAATGGTTGTGTTGTTAAGAAGACATCATTTTTGTGCTAAGTGTGGTATTACTCTTAGATGATTCATATGTAAGGTTGTTTGTCCTTCCATAAACAACTGTGCTCTCCTTGTGTTTCTTCATTTCTGGATTTGTCTCTTTCTCTTATTAATGGTGTCTTCTAGGTGATATACCACCAACCACGGCTTCTTTCCTATTGTGAGCACCTGCTAAACCTCTGTGTGCTATATAAATATACTTACTGCCCAGCTTGCTAGAGTTAGATGTCAAATGTGACAACCATCACACAGAGAGCCCGAGCTTTCGAAATACAGAGTCATTGTAGGTCTTGATACATTGTAATTAACTTCATTAGCTTTCAAAGTATCATTTAGAGCAAGAATCAAAATTGCTGTCAGATAAGATATGACATGTCCATATGTGATACATGATCTGAAAATTAATGGTTTCAAACCTGATAGCTCATCAGAACTCACAAGAAGCTTTTTTCTGGACTTATAATCTGTAAAATTTGGGGTAGGACTCAGGTCATCTAAAACCTGAATGAATACATCCACTCCTCACTTCACGACATAGCTAGACTCCAAAAATCGGTTTGCTATGCAGAACTGGTGCCAGCTGTGAGAGTCAGGGGCTTGCACCGTCTTTGGCACCAATGTTCCCCTCCTTCATGTACCACGAGCTACTTCCTTGTTGCCACCCTCAGAAGACTCCATTTTCCCTCTGCCCAGACCCCACAAGCTTGGTTAGGTCCCCTTTTCTTTGCCCCACTTCCCACTTTTAGCTCACCATCAAGCTCTCACCTGCCTTCCCTTTGCCCCCCCCCTCCCCCCACACAATCTTGTA